TTCCTTGCTGATATCTTTACCGATCGGTGAACATCGCTGAGCCGGTATTAACCATGGGATATTGTCTGCTTCCATCACCGAATCACTACTGAAATAAAACAGCTCATATAGACTTACTCAAAGCCGTACTTAACATTTTGCTTGGTTATTATATGGTGATGAAAAATAATCTCAATCTAGGAGTTTTGATGTACCTCTTTGCAATAATCAACATTCTGTGATAACAAATAACATCCTTATGTGTGCAATATGATTCTTCGTCTAAACTTTCGGCTCTACGACATTGGTTAAATCTTCTGGTTTGGCTGCAGGAACCGTAAAATGAGACTATATGCTTGCTTCCAAGCAGTGAGTCCTGCAGAAACCCGTGCAATAACTCACTCCGAATTGATCAATAGTATTCCATTCCAGGCGACCATTTCTGCGTTGTCACAGCACAATCGAGGTGGAATTGTTAACAGCGAATAGCCATATATATGTGCAATTTTTTCGAGGGCACTCAGAATATACGCATTCGAGGCAACACCTCCGGATACGACAATACGACGATTCTCCGTTGGGATCTGCATTATACAACATATCTGCACATCCCAATAACTGATCTCGAATCTGCACTGACAATCTAACTTAGATGACGGATCATGCGTTTTCATTGGCCTTTCGATCTGAGACCAAATTCAAGACTTTAGAAACGATCTTATGTAGCAAGATTCAGAATAAGAAGAAACCTTCTCCGAATTGTTGATATATTCAAGACAATGATGTAGTTTGTTCGCTAAATGAGCTGCGACTGAATGCTGAAATATCAAATGAATTCAGTTAAGCAGAATGACTGTAAGAGCTGAAAGCGGAAATTTTTTTCATATGCAACTGCCGGACTGATTAATTTGGATGTAGGAGAAGCGAAATTTGGGAAACGATTTAAATGAAGTATCAAATGAGCTATACGAATTCGACGACATTCTTCTATTTCAGTTCGTTTTGAATTCTGAATTTCAGTTTTTTAATTTTCCTGGTGTCAAAAGACCCTTATTTCCTCCAGACTTACTTTAAAGTAGCTATATTTTCTGAATCATGAAAATCGCTGTACCACTGTAATATAAAAGATATCAACATTTTGAATCACCATCGTATTGCAACGATAAAATAACAAATGATAATGTAGGTTTCACCTGGACACTTGCACAAAAATTTTCCACATTCAACGATGCGGACTTCAGTTTTCTTAACAATGTCAGATATGAATTTTTGACAGAGCTGAAGTCCATATTGGGACCATTTGTGCCTGGCATGTTGACTCGATAATGTAGATGTCCGTCCAGTGAACAGCTGAAATTATACCCAACCACTTGACGAATTTTGCACTATTCTGTGGACGAAATATGATCACTACAAATGATTAACACAATGAAAGTGATCTTAACTTCAAGATTTCCTACCAATATATTATACTTGAAAAAAAAAAACTGAAATGGAGAAGGCAAAAATCGGACTTTTTGGCCAGTTGCTCAAGTGCCGCGCCCGGATGCAGACCAATGAATTCAGTAAACGCTTCAGATGGCAACGATCTGGCTATTTTGTCTAGACACTCGCCAGGGCTTCCTGAGACGCTCGACGCTAACAGCTCGAAGTTTTCGGGTCCGTATGCGATCGTGATCAGAGCGTGACCACCCGAAATAAGGACACATACATACGGAAAGCGCAGTTCAGGATGTAGCAGCGATGCGATGGTGGCATGTGCTTGCATATGGTGAACGTTCACGAAACGAGTTCGAGCCTGCCTGAAATATCATAAATTATCAATTTTATCAAACACCAGCTATCAATGCTGATAGCAAACTACAGAATCTCACCACTTCAAAGTTTCAGTCTCAGCAAATACCGGTGATAAGTCATGAAAAAATCCCAAAGATATCTACTTACAATTAGTATTTTATAAGTATCCGCACAGATGACTGTGAAATTCTCGTAATTCGTCTATTGTATCAATACTTTGGGTATGTCACTGAAAAATGTGTCATTCAAACGGCGAACCTAGCCAACGAAAGTGCTTTAGCGATTCCAACTCGCAGGGCAATCACAAGCCCAGGCCTCGTACTTACGGCTATTCCATCCAGATCTGCCAGACGCATTCCACTTTCTTCCAAACATTCGTCGACGAAACGGCTGATAAGATTTCGATGCTAAAAAAAGTCGAAGTTATGTCGATTCTGCAATTTCAAATTCTAAAAAATTTGTGAACATTCGTTGCGTTAGCTTAGAATGTGATTTTGATCAATTTGTAATGGAAACAGTAGTATGAAGACTATAGTTGTCATCGTGGAAAATGATTATGATCGAGATGAGATGAATTTTTGCTGACTAGGCACGGAATCACCAACATTTAGATTCATGAGGAGTTTGTTCAATAAGGAATGAATGATTGACTTTAAATGAAGTACAGCAAACAGTGGATCGAACCTGTTGGGCCACAAGACTCGGGCATATTCCTCCAAGGCGATTCTGAACTTCTCGATTCGCATATCGTCTCGAACTGAGCACTTTTCGGCGACTGGTCAGCACACAGACCGCCGTATCGTCACAACTGATCGACGATCACTTTATTAACATTCTGAATCATTTGTTCACCTTTCTAATACTAATCTATTTTC